AGAAATTTAGGGATAGGTTGATTAGCATGTGTGGTGCTAGATGGAGTGATTCTACTTTGGAGTTGGAGAAAAAAAATGAGAGAAACTTATTACTATTTTCTTCTTGGTAAGTGAATTTTTGAGGATGAAAATATTTTTTTTTCTTGATAAGAATGTAAGGAATAAGTTTAATTTAAGTTAGTAAAAGGTTTACGTGAAGTTTAATATTTTACTGGTTAAGTTAAATAGATTATAAATAAAAAAATTAATTATCCACACTTTATTTTTACAAAAATCATTATCTCTCTAAATTTCCTTTATTTACTTTCTCTCTAAATTTTCTCATTCCTCTCTCATATTTCTTTGTATCCTAGGACATCTTATTACATCTAGAGTAATGTAAAACAATCCTTCACAAACATAAGTTGGTATAGAGTAAGTTTTTTAATGACCATTTTTTAGAGCATTTTGCAAGTGAGCCTCAAGGTTCTTCCATGCATGAATTGTTGGATAAAGATGAATCATAACTATTTTAGGAATATAATATTATGTTCAATTTGTTGATTAAAGTTATTTGCAATTAAGATTTAACTTTTTATTGCTTTGGAAACATTTGGGGATTTTTTGGAAGGAGGTAATTGAATGGCAAAAGGAGATATTTGTAGTCAATTTCATAGTATTTTAGGTTAGAAGACCTAAAAGGTAAAACATACACAAGCACACACTGGAAAAATAGAAATTGGAGAAGATAGGTGTTCATAATGTGATGCAAAAAAAATATATGTATTCTCTTGAAGATTACAGTTTTAGATACCTGAATCCTACTAATAGTAGGATCATAACATAGAAAACCTTTTTTATGAGGAGAGTATCCAAGAAAAACATATGCAATAGATTGTACAGTAAGTTTGTTGTGTTTTTATGGAGGAAGATGGACATAACACACAACCAAAGTACAAAGACTAGAGTAATCAAGTGAGTGATCAAATAACTTAATGAATGGTGATTCATTACCAATTGAAGAAGTTGAAAAAACTATTTATAGGATGAATTGTAGTGGACAAGGCTTCATTCCAAAAACATGATATCATATGTGACTCTAATAAAAAGGTTCCAACAACATCAAGAAAATGAAAATTTTTCCATTAAGTTATCCTATTTTGTTTAGAGGTTGAAGGACATGACCTTTGAGATATAATTTCATTTGATTAAAAAAATGATTGAAATGATTTTTGATGTGTATTCTCCCCCATTGTTAAAATGAAAAATCTTAATTTTAGATGAAAATTAAGTTTGAGCATAAGCATTACAAATTTTGGAAAGTGGAAAATACTTATATTTTATTGGTAAAAAATAGACCTAAGTGAAACAATTATAATCATCAATAAAAGCTACCAAATATTTATAATTAAAATGGAATATAATTGGTGTTATTCTCTAAACGTCACTACAGTGATATAAAAAAATTGTGTTACAAGCAAGTATGTGTTGGAAAAAGGTAAAATTTTACTTTTGCCTAAAATTAAGAGTATTGAAAGATGAAATGTGTTTATTGCCAAGGAGACCATATTTGAGCATGACATGGATAACATTTGAATTAGGATGTCCATGAAACTTATGCCACACTTGAGAATTAATAAAAGTAAAATTACAAGAAACTAAAGGTAAAAAAAGACTAGGAGATAGAGACAAATTGATAGGAAAAGAAAAAGACGTCAAACTTAAGACCCATTTTCAATTAACTTCTTGGAGTATTGATCTTACACAAGACAACAAGAATGTGAGAATTGTAATTGATAATTATTATTAAGTAATTGACCAGCAAAAATGAGACTAATATAGACTAGGAGAAATAAAAACATTAGTCAAAGATAAAAAAAAAAATCATCAATAATGGTGACAGGCAATTGATTTTCATCAGTAATATGCATCTTAGGATTTCTTCTATAGTTTTGGATATTACTAATGAGTTAGACATTGTTGGTCACATAATTGGAAGTCACAAAAGCAAAATACCAATGTGAAGAAGGGTAGAGTTGTCAAAACGGGCGATTCAACCTAGTCTGATCTATATTTTAAAACAGATAAAAATTTTTAGTCTAGTTTGATGCTATATTAGACCAACGAGCCAATAGGTCAATTTTGTCCTAATTAATTAAAAAAAATTAACATATCTATATAAAATTAATTAATCAAAAAATAAATAAAAATATATTTTGATAATTTAAATTTTATTAATAAAATTAGGTTTTGTTTAAGATATAATAATTTAATATATAAATTATAAGAGAATGCATTCATTCAATTTCAAAATAAGAACTAAAAATTTACTTTTTTATTATCATTATTTATTTTTAATAATTTATTAATTTAAAATAATAATTAATCTTAATCATAAGATCTTATAATAAGTAATTATTATTGTCAGCAACTAATTTCGTCTAGTAGATAAATAACAACATATTAAAAAAAAGAGAGGGAAAGACAAAATTTTGAAATATGAAAAAAAGAAAAGGATAAAAAAATAATTTCTTTTAAGTACTTTAAAAAGGGAAAAGAAAATAAAAATAATATTAATATAATAATAATTTACTTTAGTAACATTCTAAATTTTTTTAGAAAAAGAAAGATAATTTCAAGAAAAAGAAAGATAATTTCGTTAAGAGAAAAGTAAGAAAAATAATTTAATGATAGTTTTTTTAATATGTTCTATAATCGTTAAGAAACAACAACAAAAAAAGTGAAGAAAGGGTCATATTGTGATTTTTGGGCCCAATTCTTTTTCACTCTAGGTTTAGTATGTTTAACCTAATTATTGGCTTTAAAAAGGGAGAATAGTAACTAGAGAAGGGGGCCGCGGAAGAGGAGGTGAAATAGAGAGACAAAGGTCACAATTATCAATTATCAAGGTAATCCCCTTCGTCATGGCACTACTAGAAAATATGTTTTCAACGTCGGTTCTGGAAGGCTTTCAACGTCGGTTTAATAACCGAATGAAAGTCGACTTTAGATAGCGGTTCCCTTATAACCGCTATCTAAAGTCGACTTTAGATAGCGGTTATAAGGAGAACCGCTATCTAAAGTCGTCGGTTTTTTTGAAAGTATGATTTTTTAAATTAATAATTTTTATTTATTTACAACCCCATTACCCCCCCTTTTATTATCTAGAAGTCTCCCTCTCTTCCTATTATATTTTTATTAGGTCCTCCATCTCTTTATATTATATTTTTAGAAGTTTTTTAATTTTTAAGAGAATTGTCATTGGCGGGATTCGAACCCAAGTACTTTAGAGTTGGAGGCCGATACTCCAACCACTAAACTACTTGAATTTTTTGATAATAACTTACAAATAAATTATATTTATATACAAATAAATATATATCCGTGTAAATATATACAAATAAACCCAAGTACTTTCATCTTCTTCGCACCGATAATCCTCCAAAATTTTGTGTTCTTCATGCCGACAGCCCTCCCAAATTCACCTTCTCGCTCACAGTTTCACTCCCTCTTTGTGACCTTGTACCAGTGACTATCCACCATTGTTCGAGCTTAATCACCTTCGTCTCTCCAACCCCAATCCTCCACCCTTCTATTCAGCTTCGAAGATCTTTAACCCAAGCATGCATCACCTGACCTCAAGCTTGAAATCCAACCCAGTGACCTTGAATCTCAAATCTGAGTGACCAAAACACCCAATCAAAACCCAAGCAACTTCGAATCTCAACCCCAGCCTACCTCGACGAACTCGAGGCCGAACCCCAACTCTGACGACATCGAACCCCAAAGTTCAAGCCAAACTGTTTTTATAGAAGATTTTCAAAACTGCTGGTTTAATTAATCTGTTAAAAGATTCTTTTAATCTGTTAAAAGTGCAGTTTTAATCTGTTAAAACTTCTTTTAATCCATTAATACGTTCTTGATTCTTTAACAGATTTGTTTTAACTGATATCTGCAACGTTTATATCAATTAAAACACTTTACAAAAAATCTTCTAAGTTGATTTAATCGATTGTTTCGCGATTCAATCGATTGAAATACTCGCAAAACTTTCTCGTAAAGCTTTTCAACTAATTTTAACTGATAAAAATAAGTTTTAATCGATTAAAACGCTGTGCAGAAATTGTTTTAATCGATTGAAACGAGATTTAATCGATTGAAACGCTATCTAAAATGTATCTCGCTTGAGCGACACCCTTCTCGCTCGAGCGAAACGCCCCCTGCACAAAATTAGCATTCTCGGGTTGTATTTCGCTTGAGCGATTCTACCCTCGCTCGAGCGAAATATGACTCTGTTCGATTATAACTCGCAATGATCGATCATAATTGAGAGGATATAATAGCGGTTCCCTTATAACCGCTATCTCAAGTGTAACTCGCTTGAGCGACACTCTTCTCGCTCGAGCGAAATGCCCCCTGCACAAAATTAGCATTCTCGGGTTGTATTTCGCTTGAGCGACACTACTCTCGCTCGAGCGAAATAAGGTTCTGATCGATCATAACTTGAAATGACCGATCATAATGGAGAGGATATAACACTTTAGATAGCGGTTCCCTCAGAACCGCTATATAAAGTGCACTTTAGATAGCGGTTCCCTTAGAACCGCTATCTAAAGTGTGTGAGTTTTTGTGGGTTTCAACGTCGTTTATACCACCACCCGACGTTGAAAGCCCATGTCGGGTGAGGGCATAACCGACGTTGAAAGCCTACTTTCCACGTCAGGCTTGCTTAAACGACGTTGAATGTGCCAAAATTCGACTTTCAACGTCGGTTGTTGAACAACCGACGTTGAAAGCATATTTAACGTCGGCTAGGATGTAACCGACGTTAAACAGCGACGTTGAAAGCATATTTTCTAGTAGTGGTCTCGTTTTCTTTAATATTGGTCTCGGTGCAATTTCTTTTTTTTTGTTCACCTGCCTTTCTCTCATCTCCTTCGTCATGGTCTGCCATCCTCACTCACCATTCTTTTTTTTTCTTCTTTTCGATCCATATCTCCCTTCTCATTTTCCCCACACTATCACACAGTCGCAACCCCTCTCCTCACCACGCCAGCCACCACAGCTCCAGGCCACCCATCACAACCCCTCCAGTGCAGCCTCCATTTCTTCACTTTCGTGGCCACTCCACTTAGTCGCCACCCTCCACTAAGCTACTTCCGTGAACCACCCGTAGCCTTGGTCGCACCCCGCGACCTCCTTCCCTCAACCCTTCACTTGAGCCCGCACACCCTCCTCCCAACATCAGTCACCCAACATCAGTCACCACCTAACCATTCTCTTCTCCTTTACTTTCATCCTCCCTCACAGAAATCACCAGCCACGTCCCCACTCACCGGAACCGCATTGGTAGCCTCTCCAGCTCCCTACTTCACTGCAAACCACTGTTTCACCAAACTGGCGCAGCCAGCCATCACGGGCTTCGGTCGCGCCACTGACCTTCACCCTAGCCGCCATTAACTCCCTCCGCGCCTCTAGTCACCACCGTGAACCACTGTTTCACCAAACCCGTGCAGCCAGCCATCACGGACCTTGGCCGCACTGCTAGCCTCCACCCTAGTCGCCACTGACCTCCTCCACCTCGCTCACCACCGCTTCCACCCCGAGGAACCCCACTGCGCATGCAACCACCAGCGACCGTCACTAGCTTTTGTTAGACAAATGATATCTTTAAAATAGACGTGAAATTTAGAATTTATTTAAAGATGTCTAATATTTATTAATTTAATTTTAATTATCAAATTAAATAAATGAATATTGAGAGTGGATGGTTGACCGCCGCCTCTTGTCGTGGAGGCTCTCCGGCCGAGGAGGGGCTTGTTATCATAACCTTTTCTCTCGGTGTATGTGAAAAAGAGTGACGAACCCTTTTTTGTTCGGTCATAGGTTGGTGTCCAAAGAACGAGAGTCGGCTTCCTTAACTTAAACTTAAGTCCGTTGTTCCTCAGTAGGTCAGTGGTAGAGCGGTCGGCTGTCTGACTGGTCGTAGGTTCAAATCTTATTTGAGGAGAATTTTTAGTTATAGCTTTTCTGACCTAGCGACCCCTGTCCTTCCCCTTAGTTTCTAAACTAGCAGAATCGTGGGACATCCAAAGTGGGTGCTCCGCCCGCATATGTAGAAAAAGAGGGAGCAGGGAAGGAAGAACAACCGTTTGACTTTGGCACATGAGGTGGCTGGTTTGGCTGGGTAACATAATGGAAATGTATCGAACTGCAAATCCTGGAATGACGGTTCTACCCCGTCCTTGGCCTCGGGGAGTGGCGAGCAGCACGGAACTTTAATTAAATTATTTAATTAAATTAATAAATTAAAAAAGAGGGGGCTTTCCTTTGTTAGAAATCCACAGACAACATTCTGGAACTTCCAAACCAGTGGAAGTGATAATATAATTAGAGAGTTGAAAAGGGAGGAATCTAACTGCTTAGAGACAGGGAGGAGAAGAACACATAATAATTTTTAATTGTTTGGTATAATCAATTTTACATTCACTTTCCACTCAACTCTAATCACTCTAATCACAAGAGTGACTCTTAATTCACTATCTTTAAAATTCAATTTACAAATTATAATCAACTCAGTAGAGGAACCAGTAAAAAGTAAACTAATTAAAAAGACAATTACCTCTTTAGAAACCCACTAAGGATGAACATCTCCTTGGAATCTCACTAGAGAGGAACACCTCCTCTAAATAAATCAAAAGATGAAAGATATCTCCTTTGCAACCATTACACTAGGGATGAACACCTCTTTAGAATTACACTAGGGATGAACACCTCTTTAGAATTACACTAGGGATGAACATCTCCCTAGAATCACACTAAGGATGAACACCTCCCCGAACAAATCAAAGGGATGAAAACATCTCTTTAGAATCCTACTAAGGATGAACACCTCCCCGAACAAATCAAAGGGATGAACAATTTCCACAGAGGAAACCTAAAGAATTATAACAAAATAACAACAACCACTTAAACCCTAAAGAGGGAATTATCATTCCTAAAAAAAAACACACCTGATAATGGAGACAATAAATTGTAGAAGCCTATAGAATGCCAACATCCAAGAATAAGTATGATTAACAATGAAAGTGCACTGTAGAATGCCAACCTCCAAGAATAAGTATGATTAATAGTGAAAGTGCACTGTAGAATGCCAACCTCCAAGAATAAGTATGATTAACAGTGAAAGTGCAGAAGACAGTAAAGAAGAGGGTTTTATCAGAAGGTGTAAAATATTTTTGTTGTCTTACTCAGAATTCTTTTCTTAAAACTGAATGAATGTTTGAATTCTATAATTGTGTCTATTTTATTTTTCATCAAAACTTATTTAAATAGGAAAATAACATCAGAAAATAGTCATTGGTCATTAATAATTTTGTAGAAAAAAATCAGGATGTATCCAAAAATATTTATTCTTTAAAAATAGATATATTTTTCAAATTTAAACCGCCATAATCGATTATGTTACCAAGTATAATCGATTATGACAAAGAGAAAATCATTTTTCCATTTTTGATGCATCATAATTGATTATGACAGTGAAAAATGTCATGTTATAAAATTTTATCACACTTGTGTTTTGGAGGCTTATGCATAATATCACTTCATCAACTTGTACCTCCATATCCAGTATTTTAAGACTCTATCTAGTCTTCAGGAATCATCTTGGGCGTGCTTGATGTTTGAATGGAATATTTATCAAAATCATACCTTGAGTTTGCTTGAGTCTTGAATGTTCTTTACTTGAATCATCATCAAAATCATCTTTTGGGAATGTAGGGACATGTTTCATATTTCCATCAATCTCCCCCTCAATGCTTTTAACCTTCAGCCTAGCTGTCGCAACCCATTTGTGCTCAACCTCAGCCCTAACCGTGCAAGCCTTGCGCCTCCTCCCCGTGGCTCGCACCTTCCGCCAGAATCGTAACCATCGTGGGTCCTAGCTGTAACGTGCTTCGCTTGCCAATCCCGGGTGACACGGCCCTTGGGGCCTTTGCGAAGGGTCCAATGGCTAACCCCACACCACCGTGAGAACACCCCCTCCCTAATCTTGATGCCCCCTTTTCCTCTTTCTGTATTAACATTTTTGCACTTTAGGTGTCCTCCTGGGTGATGTGATTGATCTGTTCTATAATGTAATGCTTAATACCTTATTTGCATTTTATTTGGCCCAAAGACTGACTAAGACCTTAGTGTCATGCATGGTCGGAAGGCTGAAGAGTGAGGACCCTATAATGGGGGCACCTTGGGGGCTTAGCCTTGGTGAGGAATTTAGAACTACCCTGAATATGCACTCTTCTGCAGGAAAACCCTACCTCGTGATTAAAAATGTCGTCCTACTTATTCGCGGATGAGTGAATTGTGTGTGCATTTGTTTGTTGCATTTGTTTGTTGCATAGCCTAAACATACAACAAATAAAAAAAAATCTCAAAATCTTTTCACAATAAACACCTTTATCTCGGACAGTCTGCCTTTTAGCTAGTCTGGTTTCAGGTTCTTTGTAAGCTAAGTAGCCACACATTCCGATAGAAGAGATAAATGACGTTAAAATTATTCTTTTGCAATAAACCATTTTTATCTCGGACAGTCTGCCTTTTAGCTAATCTAGTTTTAGGTTCTTTGTAAGTTAAGTAGCCACACAGTCCGACAGAAGAGATAAAAGGTTATAAAAAATGAATAAAACAAATAAAACCAAATAAACCGAATAAATCAAAAATAGGATCTTGTTCATAAACATTAAACTCATAAACATCCATATAGGTAGTTTATCTTCCTTTTGAAAAAATACAAAAAAAAAAAACACTATCATGCATCATGTAGAAATAAAACATGATAATGTTTAGGAAAAATAGACACTTGCATGCATGCCTGCATTCATATTCATAGCATGCATTATGGAGGAGGCTAGGAGATAGTTGAAGAAAGTGGATATTCCCCGATACCATGTGGAGAAGATAGAACGGTTCTGTGCGTTGATGCCACCTGAGGTCCGCTCCAACTTTGAAAAATCCTACGGATGGATTCTCGACCTATTGAAGATCTATGTCGACCCCATTTTTGTCAGGATTCTAGTCCATTTTTGGAACTCTAGTCTGCACTGCTTCGAGTTTCCGAGTTCGATATGGTACCCACTTTGGAGGAGTATGAGATTATGTTAAGATGACCCAAGTCAGCCGGGGTCCATATTCGCCATGAGGCATATACTCCTGCAGTCCAAGTCACTGCCATCATCCGATTGCCATCTCAACAGACTGCCCTGATAGAAAAAGGGAACATCTAAGGTTGGTGATGAGTCATTATTTTCCCGCATTTTCTTATCTTTATATACTTATCTTAATTGGTGCATTGTGTTTAATTGTCTATTATTAGTGCATTTTCATTGATTGGGCTTCATTGGGCTAATAATTTAGATTTTAATCTATTTGATCTAATTTTTACTCATTATTAATTTTAGGACAGTTTAAAGTAATTTTGGACTTGAAAAATTGGGCCAAATGTCATATTTTATTTTATACGGGATCCAAAATCATTCAATTCGGAGCTAAATTGGATTTTACATAAATTATCCAAAACGGGTCAAGCGCACCAGGCCGGCCCAATGGACATGCTTCAGTAATTTAAGTCTCCTAAATTCATTAGAGCTCCAAAAATAGTAGAAACAGTGGCGTTTTAAAGCTAGCTCAAAAGGCTTTCGTTGGAGACCAAAATCGTTTAATTTGGATAAGTATTGAAAATACTGCACGTGTTTGAAGTTCATGGACCTGCACTGAAGCCAATTTATGATGTGTTTCATGGACTAGTTGAGCCCAAACCTCGATTAAGATTAGGGTTAGGGTTATTTATATAAGAGAGGCACATCACACGAAAAAGAGACATCACACAAGGACTAGGCAGCCACCACACTTCCGTCTTTCATCTTCTGCAATTTACATTCAAGTTTGTTTACTCTTCTGTCATTATTTTTAAATTCTTGTTTCGATTTTAATTATGTTTCTTCTATTGTGTTTTCAACTTTCCATGGATAGCTAAATCTTTGTATTGATTTTCTGAGAAGAATGCAAGTAGATCTTTGAGGTTTTGTTCTTCAATTTCATATTGTTTGTTCTCTTAACTCTTCATCTTCTAATCTCAGTATTGAATTATAATCTGTTTATGCTTAATAAACCGAAACTTATATCACAGTTTGCTTAATTCTGTGTTAGATATGAGATTATGTGATGTATGCAATGCTTAATTGTATAAGGATAATTTGGGGTTAATCTTCGCTTAGTTGGTTAATTTCATGTTGGAATAAGGGTTAAGGAAAATTTGGGATTAATCTTCGCTTAGTTGGTTAATTTCATATTGGAACAAGGGTTAAAGCTAATTTGAGATTAATCTTCGCTTAGTTGATTAATTTTGGATTAGAATATAATTTGGGATTTATCTTCGCTTAGTCTGCTAATTTCGAATTAATTTCGTAATCTAGGATAAGTGACGCTGCATTAGAATCGAAAATCAATTGCATTTTAATCTGCTTTTTAATCCGCATTTTTATAATCTGTTTTTGTTTTGTTTCATCTAATATTTTAATTTTGAAAAACTCCCCTTTTAATTTTTTGTTACTAAAAATTGATAAACTTTGATAGAAATTTGTGGTCTTTGGGAGACGACCTAGGAAAGCTTCCTAGTACTACATTTATTTGTTTTAATTATTTGACCGAGTACGACATCGATCAAATTTGGCACCGTTGTCGGGACCAAGATTTTTGTCTAGGTTTTCAATTTTTATTTTCTCGTTTCGTATTCATTTTTTTGTTTTTATTTTATTTTATTTAAATATTTTATTTGATTTTCAGTTTTTTTTTTATATTTTATTTGATTTGTTAGTTATTTAAATATTTTATTTGATTTGCTATTATTAGGATATTTTATTTGATTTGCAGTTATTTTAATATTTTATTTGATTTTTAGTTATTTAATATTTGATTTTCAGTTATTTGAATATTTTATTTGATTTTCAGTTAATTGAATATTTTATTTGATTTTCTATTTAATTTAAATATTTTATTTGATTGTTAGTTATTTAATATTCTATATGATTTGCTGTTATTTGAATATTTTATTTGATTTGTCTGTTATTTAAATATTTTATTTTATTTTTAGTTATTTAAATATTTTATTTGATTTTCAGTTATTTGAATATTTTATTTGATTGCTAGTTTTTAATATTTTATTTGATTTCCAGTTATTTGAATATTTTATTTGATTTTCTATTTAATTTAAATATTTTATTTGATTGTTAGTTATTTAATATTCTATTTGATTTGTCTGTTATTTGAATATTTTATTTGATTTGCTATTATTTAGATATTTTATTTGATTTTTAGTTATTTAAATATTTTATTTGATTTTTAGTTATTTAATATTTGATTTTCAGTTATTTGGATATTTTATTTGATTTTCTATTTAATTTAAAATTCTTACTTCTTTTAATACTATTTTGATAGCTCACTATGTTCTAAAACTCTTTTGGGTTAAAATAAAAAAAATAACAAAAATATAAATATAAATATATATATATATATATATATATATATATAAAATTTATAAATAATAATTCAAAAAAAAAAACAATTTCATCCCTAATTTGTTTTTTTAGCTTTATAAAAATAAAAAAATTATAATTTCCATTCTCATAGGAAACTCGGATATAGCTTGGTAGTGTGAGAGTGCATGTCTAGGAGGGTTCTGCTAGGAAAGATTTGGTACTTAAGCGTGTCCATTAGTGACCCACCTCTCTTTCCCGGGAACCTGCCCGGTATAATTATTCACTGGTCTACCGTTGTCTTTCCAAGAAACAACCGATTTTTTTAGGAATTTTTTTTTAACTCTTGGGAAATACATGAATTGTTGAATATAGTGCATGACTAGGAGCAATCCCGACCTTTTACAACCTTTTGATCCCGAGATAGATAGAACCTTTCATAGATTAGTTAGACATTCTAGGAATTCATCTCTTGAGTCTCGAACCATTAGATAGTCATAGTGATAGTACTGCACCTAATATACCTTCTTCCGATAATTTCCAAACTAATAACATGGGTGATCAACCTATTGGACCTCGTGAGAGGACTCTCGTGGAGATGGTCGCACCTCGATTTCACTTATGCAAATTTATGTATCCAATACCCTGAAGAGGATGTACCATTTGTGCTTAAAACTGGACTAATCCATTTGTTGCCAAGTTTCATGGTCGTGCAGGTGAGGATCCACACAAGCATCTCAAGGAGTTCCATATAGTCTCGCTCCACCATGAAGCCACAAAATGTTCCCTGAAGATCACATATACCCGAAGACTTTTCCTTTCTCTTTGGAGGATCTTGCCAAAGACTCGGTTGTACTACTTAGCTCCTGGTTCCATAACGAGCTGGGATGATCTCGAAGAGAGTCTTTCTAGATAAATTTTTCCCCGCTTCCAGGATCACCGCCATCGGGAAGGATATATCGGGTATCGTGCAACGAGATGGGAGAGAGCTTATACGAGTATTGGGAGAGGTTCAAGAGACTTTGTGCAAGTTGCCCTCACCACCAAATATCGGAACAACTACTACCGCAAGTACTTTTATGAGGGGATGAACACAATGGATAGGAGTATGATAGATGCAGGCTAGTGGAGGAGCTTTAGGAGACATGACACCTGCCGGCCGCTAGAGATTTAATTGAGAAGATGGCATCCAATTCCCATCAATTTAACATGAGGAGTGATGCCATAGTCCTTAGGGGTGTACATGATGTGGGTTCATCGATTTAGTGGAGAAGAAGCTAGAAAGTAAGATTGATGCCCTCGCCACCCTAGTCTCCCAACTTGCCGCAAATCGAGACCCGCACCACCTGCAAGGGTTTGTGGCATTTGTACTTCAATTGAGCATCCCACTCGATTGCCGCCAATTATTGCATGAGTCTACAGTGTTCTAGAGCTCCACAAGCTTATGCAACAAACATTTTCAATAATAGGGCTCCGAACCAACAACATAATTTTGACCTCTCAAGCAATAGATACAATCCAGGGTGGAGGAATCACCCAATTCCGAGATGGTCCAA